ATGCTTGCCTTGGTATGGCATCCACACAGAAAAAAGGTGTGGAATGATTGTCTGCCGTTGCTCTGACAGAGGGAGGGGCGACTGACAACATGGCTTACAGGGTTGCCTTACAGGGAATTAAAATCAACAAAGGGGGTGGCTTTACATCAAGGAGTATTTCAGGCAGGACTTCACGGAGGGTTCCAATAAGAAATGGTGCACCTAAGTAATTGTTCTTATTGGAAAAAGCAGGTTGGTCTGGCCTCTGATTGATACATGGCTAGATTTACCTCGCTGCACCTTCTCTGTGAGTGACTGCAGTGTGACCTAGAGGAATGAGTCCCCTAGATGGGGGGGGGGAGAAGCAAATGAGTACAAAACAAATCTGGTCTATTTCTTGTTTTGATCCACTCCATCTATCTTTTACATCTTTGGCTGGCAGCAGACGGTGCAGAAGGACTGCAAGCCATCCACATCTCATGACTGCTCGGCAGAAGATGGTACAATAGGCCTGCTAGCCATCCTCATCTCTTGCCTGCCCGGCAGAAGATGGAACAATAGGACTGCTAGCAATCTGTATTGCCTGCCTGATCACCATAAGATGGTTCAATAGGACTGACTGCAGGACTAAAGAGAATGACCTGGTCAAGTCACTCCAAATTTAGTCCCTGCACCCATGTCTGCCCAGGCGCTCATGGCTGACGTGGCCAGGAGCACCTGGGACATGACGATGACAGCTACCGGTCCTATTGTACCGTCTGCTGCCACAAGGCAAGGGGTTGCTGCTGCTGTGTAGCAATGCAGTACCATGTCTGCCAGCACCCAGGAGACATACGGTGACGGTTACCTGAGTGGGCTCCATGCTTGCTGTGGTATGGCGTCTGCACAGGTAACTCAAGTAAAAAGGTGCGAAACGATTGTCTGCTGCTGCTTTCACAGAGGGAGGGAGGGAACGGGGACCTGACGATATGTACCCAGAACCACCCGCGACAATGTTTTAGCCCCATCAGGCATTGGGATCTCAACCCAGAATTCCAATGGGCAGCGGAGACTGTGGGAACTGTGGGATAGCTACCCACAGTGCAACACTCCGGACGTCGACGCTTGCCTCGGTACTGTGGAAGCACTCCGCTGAGTTAATGCACTTAATGCACTTAGAGCATTTTCTGTGGGGACACACACACTCGAATATATAAAAACGATTTCTAAAAAAATGACTTCTATAAATTTGACCTAATTTCGTAGTGTAGACATACCCTATGTGAGGTGGAGGTGTGTGAATGTGCACCAAAGTGCTGTGCTCTAACTTTCCCATGGAGGCACTGCGGGCTCAAATGATAAGGTTCCTAGTGTGGATTAATGTCCTGTTTGAAGAGGACTGTGTTAACAGGAAGTGGAAACCTTCTAGTTTGCACCAGCAGATTCCACACAGGGGAGCTGTGGTGTGCACAGCTAGTCACACCCCTGTAGCCTGAATTAAAGGGCAGTATAGACAAGCCCTTACGAATGTAACGGCTATCCTGCAATGTGCCAAAATTTACATTTACTGTATAAATGGTAAACTCATCAATATACAATATAGCAACAAAAATACACACAGTGAAGCTTCTGTTTTTCACCTATTCTGACCTATGTGTGCTGAAAATAAGCCATGATCTCTTATGTTCAATTTTTATGACAGGAGATATACTATGTTTTTATGTTCCTGTGAAACACTGTTTCTTCTCATATCGAAGTAGAGCATAGGCTTCCTTCACTCCTTCCTCCCCGTGCCCCGAATTCCCTGCCGCCACCTCGGTGGCCTTTTAATTAAGACTGCAAAGTTGATCTATTTGGTGTGGAACTTTAAGTAGTGGAGTACTGTTGGTTAAGAATATCTAACAGATTTATTGTTAAATCTGATGATTTGTTAAATAGTTACGTGTGTTTCATACAAAATTGTAAAGCTCAATAACTTTTTCTGGAGAGCATGAAGCAAATACCTTTAGACACATGAGATCCAATTCTCATTATTCCAGTGTTTCAGAAGAGATATTTTTTTCATTTTGTTATGATTTTAAGAAGGAAATTTTATGCTGTAAAGTACATAGGAGTGGAGAGTCTTCTGGAGTGGTGGGAAAATTTCTATGCAAACCTGTTCAAAACTTGTTGGGAAGGAAGGAATTAAAATCAGATGTCTAATAAATCCATTGGGCTAGAGAGTCAAAACCAGTTAGAAAACTACCAAAGAAGATCCCCAGAAAACTCATTTTAAAATCTTATTTTCAGTAGATAAGATCTTCAGCTTGTATAAATCTGCAACTTTCATGAAGCAATGTTCATTTACACCAGTTGAGGATCTAACCCAATATGTGTAAATAGAATGGCAAAGAATCCCCGCTGTTGCTAAGAAATGATGACTGTAAGCTACTTTTTGTGCACCCCGATCCTGTACTGGTGATGCACTTCCAGTATAAGCTGAAGTGGTTCTAACTAGTGACAGCTGCCACCAGGCTTAAGGAGCTGATATGCAACAGTGGCTCAGCTGGGTATTGGAAGACCTGCCTTTGCCCCCTTCTCCCTGGTCAGGAGTCACTAGACTTGCTTTATGCCACTGGAACATTTCCCTGTGCTGGAGTGATCTTCAAGTAGGGTGACCAGATAGCAAGTGAGAAACATCAGGACAGGGGGTGGGGAGCTAATAGGCGCCTTTATAAGATAAAGCCCCGAATAGATCAGGACATCTGGTCACTGTATTCTCAGGGTATGTCGACACTGCAGTTAAAAACCTGTGGCTGCCCTGTGCCAGCTGACTTGGGTTCATGGGGCTCGGGCTACAGGGCTGTTTAATTGAGGTGAAGACATTTGGGCTCAGGCTGGAGCCCAGAGTTCTGGGATCCTGCGAGGTGGGAGATCCCAGAGCTCAGGCTGAAGCCTGAGCCCAAATGTCTACAATTAAACAGCCCCTTAGCCTGAGCCCCTTAGTCTGAGTCAGTTGGTGTGGGCCAGCTGTGGGTGTCTAATTGCAATGTAGACATACCCTTAGAGGCCTGGTCTATTCCTGAAAGATAAGTTGACCAAACTACATCGCTCAAGGGTGTGAAAAATTAAGCCGCTGTAAGCCCTGGTATAGCACTGCTAGGTCGAGAGAAGAGTTCTGCCATTGACCTACCTTCGGCCTCTTGGCGCAGCGGAAAACCCCTTTCAACTGCTGTAGCAAGTGCCTATACTACCACGCTACAGGGGCATAGCTGCAGTGAGGAAACTGGGCTGCTGTAGTGCGTGTAGTGTAGACATAGCCTCACTCTCGCAATCAGCTACACCAGCATTAGAGCTGTTTTGTGCCAAGCATGGGGGAGTGCAAAGCAGCCACAGCACTGAATATAGCCCCACGTGTATTGTCATCCATGGTGAAATTTAGAATTATATCACTAAATTCGTAAGTTTGGTAACGATTTTTCAACCAGTTAACACTTCCCCAGATCCTTCATTTTTCTGTATAATGTAGCTCTAGTGCATTGCTGAAAGCAGGTGGGCTTGACACCTAATGTAGGTTCACTGTGCCACAGACTACACAGGTCTCTTGCTAGGCATGGGACTGTCACTGAGTTCCCTCTGGGGCAGGTGACTAACTGGCGAAGCACCATCAAAAAGTTCACTAACCCATCTGGGAACTGAGCAATACTTGAGCAACTAGGCAGGATCCAAGTGTGGAGCTTCCTCAGAAAAGTAGTTAACTTTCATTGGGCCTCATCTGATGCATCCAATGAAGTGAGCTGTAGCTCACGAAAGCTCATGCTCAAATAAATTGGTTAGTCTCTAAGGTGCCACAAGTACTCCTTTTCTTATTGGGCCTCATGTAACTTTCCTTTCAGTCAGAGCTAACCATTAGTGTTCATGGCAAGTGGTTTTGACCTCATAAGGCACGTAGGAAATGCCAAGCAATCTCTAGCAACATGCTAGAAAATTTTGCACCAAAATAGAATCTGAACAATATGGCTTTGTTTTGATTGTGAATCTAGTTGCACAACTCTCTCTTACAAACTTTTTTGCTTTGTGGAAAAAATCCAAAAGTAAGCTAATTTTCTGTTGGTGATCACTGCTGTCTGTTTGTTAATGAAATGGAAGAGCAGTATCTTAGTAGATTAAAATACTGAATTATATGCAATCATGGGACACAATAAATGAGTACTTACAACCAAGAAATACAGATATGAATAAATTTTATTAAGGAGATGAAATAAATTTATAAGCAAATGCTCATATTTTAAGATAAAATATACATAAAGTGTTGAATCAGAATGTGTTTGTATTGTGGGTTATTGTAAATGGTTTCTGTTTTAAATTTGGGAAGCATGCTATAGTTGTTTTGGTGTGTCTGGTAGTGATGTTATATGATTGTGTATCTCCTTTCTCATTTACCTCAGTATATATCCATTTAAAGTATGTGTTCCTTTCATGGAGTTTGCTTCAGAATAAGTTCTCGATCTTTAAAATGATCTCTTGTTAGTAAAAGAAAACATGCTGTCAATAAATTGAGTGTCCAGCTGGCTAAAGGTTTAAACAGGAAAAGGACATAAGAAGATTCTGTGGTAGGTATAAGATAAACATGCTCTTGTTTATGCTTTGTTGATATTCTGATTGTTTAGAAGTTTGAATATTTTTTTATACTAGCTTTCGGCTGTTCTTTAGAAAAACCAAACAATTAGCCCAGTCTATATGACGGCTTTGATCTTTGTTTTCATATTTGTTGTAAGAGGCTAAAAGTCTGGCAATTTATTGTATTTCATGCTTTGTCAGATCTTACCCCCTCAACACATGTTATCCACAGATGGTTTGGAGGGGAGAAAAAGAAAAGGCAGAGTGCCTAGAGTTTGACGTCTCCAATAAATTCCCAGGAGATTGTTTTATAAATGTCAGCATACTTGTGGTTGTTCATGCAGGTGCTTACACAGGACTTGTGGCCTTTCACCTAGCATAATTAACTTCCTTTTATTTAACAATGTTTACAATTTCTTTCCTTAACCTTTTTGTTTTTACAGAGTGCTCTTGAAGGAAAACTCAGCAAGTTGTTCAAACACCTGCTTGCCATGAGGCAAACACTGAGCTTCATACTTGCCCCAGGACAAGAGTCCTGTGAGAAAGCTCATCGGATACTACCAACTGCTTTTTATGCTAGATTGCTAAATCATGTGACTAGATGTCATCAATCTCTGGAGGAATGCTGCAGTGACTTGCTTGTTTTGACACTTATTGTACCATCTGCACCTTGGGTGAGTTACAAGTCAAGGCTTCATATTTTTAAATTCACTCATAAAAACTTGCTATTTTAGAAGGTTTCCGCAGCATTTTTCATGGTTCGGTGTTATGTTTATTACTTTCAGGTGTGTATGTCCTGCATGCATCCATGGGGGCAGAGAGTTGTGTTTCTGTGCATTTCAGATAATTAAGTTGAGCAAAGGTTGATTGTAATTTAAGTTCTTTATCAACATAAAATACTGTGCAATTATTTGTCCATACTGAGCTATACCAAAGTAATTTTGCTGATAAACAAGCATGCCTGAATGTGTTTAGTGGAGGAATGTAGAAAAAAAGAAAGATCATTCTTGGAACATTACTGATCCACAAGATTAATAATGGAGTATGGAGTTTATCATCTCTAGGTCACTGATGCAAAGCCAGACCCACTTAGAAATGACCAACCAGGACTATCTCTCGGCTGTTTTGCTATGGTCATCCATATGAAATAAGTTGGTGGTCTCAGGATAATTCCTGGTAGATATCATAAACACTGACATTTGGCATGCTTGTGGGGCATCTTGTAGAGAAGGCAAGGTTTTAATGTGCCATGGATATTGATCTACTCTTATACCCAGAAAAAAGGGTTTTAGGAATACTGGCAGGACATTTTGGGAAAGTTTTGCACTTTGTTCGCACCTGCAATATTTAATTTGTGGGTACATATCAATCTCCAAAGCTGTCAATCTGGCATTTTTCATGTGCATGAAAGTTCATTAAAGTGAACTACAGGCCCAGGAACCATCTAAAAATCTATGATTGTTGGACCATATACATGTGCTACTGAAGATCTGAAGATTAGGGTTGACCACACCAGCAAACACATTTTTCAACATCTCTGTCTTTATCTATGGAACATGCTAAATGGTGAGAATTAACAATTTTAAAATGAATGTTAATTAAAATGTTTTCTAAACCCACTTCATTTTCCTGGCCTAGGCAGGGTGTTGGTGTGAGGTTATAAAAGAGATTATTGGTTCTATCACCACAGTTACTTTCTTACTACTGTAGCAGTCATTCTCATTAGCTGCTTAATAGGACAATTTTGTCCCTCTGCCTTTAAAAATATAGCTTAGAGAAGAATTTACATAATGGAGTGATATAAACATGAAATTGGGATTGTTGTATTGTTAACAATTTGGTGAAATCACAAATGATTAGTGTACTGTATAACTGGAAAGGCAGAATTCTCCTTTTCCCATAGTATAAAGCTCCAGCTTTTAGCATTGCAGAGCCACCAATAGATTAATCAGATTTTAAAGCTGTGATATTTTGATGTCTAGAAAAGCTGTCATTAGTACACGACTGAATTTTGTCCCTCCTGCGCCTTAGGCAGCAGCAACTTTGTTGGGGAGCTGGAAGAAACTTTTCTCTGGAAGGTTGTTTTTATTTTTAAAATTGTAGCTTTTTGAAGCTGTTGAAGGGTTTGATATGTTCAGACAAATCTTGAGGGAGATGAATTAAAGATAAATTGATGCGCTCATAGGCATTTGACAAATTGCAAAAGCATGTTATAAATTTGTCATTTGCCTTTCCAGTTTATCACATGGATACCACCTCCACATATAGGATTAATAGAATGTTTGTATAAATATATAATTTAGTCATAACATAGTGATCTTGTTAGGATAATTAGTTCCATGTTATTACTGCCCTCGCTGTTATGTAGCACCAAACTATTCTTTGTTTTGCTTGGCCCAGTTCAAATCTGATCTTGATTAAAAAAGAAAAATCTGGACTCTGATTGTGTGCAACATGTATCTATAAAATCTATGATTGACCCAAATACCAGATGCTTCTAGTTCATAAAGGAATGTGTACACCTCTCTTTCTACTGGAGTAGGGGCTGATGCTAAGTTTGCATTGGCTTTGCACCTTCAGGCTGTTTTAAAGACATGAATATATTTCAACCAAGAATAAATAACGTTTGTTGTTCTGAAGTCTAAAAGGACCATTAAAATCTTGAAATGTACATGAGTTACAGCATATCCACATTCTTGGGGTTCCAACCTTAGGTGTGAGATTCAAGCTTTGGAAAATCACTAGCAAATGAAAATAGTTTAGAATCCAAAAGGGAGAACTGATCATCTGACTGGAAGGGGTACAGTCCAGTGTTGAGTCAGATATGGACAAGCAGGTTACCTTTTCACCTTGCTTACATTCCCTGACAAAAGACATGCTATCAATTCCCCCTTATTGGCATAATTCAATAATAGAGAACCAGATTCTGATTGTGAGTGAGACTGACAGTTTCCTCCTTGGGCTGGATGGTCCTACTGGCCATCTTCTAGATACTATGGCTAAATGTATGCATTCATACAGGGAGTCATCTCCTCAGAGACCTCGGGGAAAGCCCATTCCTCAGATCTGGTGGCCCCAGATCTGTCTACATCACTGAGGAATATAAAGCACTCCCAGCAGTTGTCCCAGATACTTTTCAATAGTAGTACTGATGGGCCATGTAGAGTTTCAGGACACTGAAGGAAAGCTCTCTGAAAGCTTTGTTTCTCTCATCAACAGAAGTTAGCCCATTAAAAGATATTACCTCACCCACCTTGTATCTCTAGTATAAAGAACAAACATTTCTGGATAGTCATGTGGGAACTGCTGCAGCATCTTCACTATCCAAAGATGCCATATAGTTCCATGAACCGTTCTCTAGAATGGCTTCCATTTTGAATATACCATCAGTCCATGTAGAACAGACCTCTAATCCCAACTTTGATATCCTAGGAGCGCCTTCTAATTCTAAGATCACTCTATTGGAAGGGCTTTTGCAACTGGCCAAAACTATTTGATAGAATCCAGTTATGTATCTGGCTATGTTGAAAAAAACACCACAAACCCAAATTTACCAGCTACCCTATGAAGGGTTTGTGTTGTTACACAAGTATGCATCCGATGAAGTGAGCTGTAGCTCATGAAAGCTCATGCTCAAATAAATTGGTTAGTCTCTAAGGTGCCACAAGTACTCCTTTTCTTTTTGCGAATACAGACTAACACGGCTGTTATTCTGAAACCTGTTGTTACACACTCACCCTGCTCCCAACTGCAGCTGTCCAATGAGCAAAAATTGGCCAGGTGCATACTGCACTAATGATCAATTGATGGAGAACGAGATAAACTGCTCTGAAAGCTAAGTAGTAAGGCAACATTTTTTAATAAAGAATGAGATGAGAACGCAGGAGAAATTCAATCCAATCCATACCTAAGTACTGTGTTCACATGGGGTCAAATTTCACTCCCCTTGAAACTGCAGTAAATCTGATGTTACTCCAAAAGAATGACTCCAGTGCAGAACTAATAAATGAGTGATCAGAATCAAGCCCCTGTAGTATACAGTTCAGGAAAGCAATAGCCATAGTATGGCACACAGTACCCTGGAAAACTTATTTGTTTTATGGAATTTTTTAAAACCCAGATAACAACCCTTATAGCCTTATTTTGCCAGTCCATAACATAAAGCGAATATGGCAATATTTTTAATATTGAATGTGTGTGCATATAATATATGTTCTGTCTATTGTTACTCTTAATTAGCATTTTAATTATATGCTGAATAAATGAATTTGAATATTGTGATTCCTATCCCAAATATTTGTATATATAATTTAAATATTCTGAATATATGTTTTGAATTTGAAATACTATGTCGAGACTCAGTTTTATAGTTGATTAATTCTAATATCCAGCACCAAATTTGAAAAAGAGATTAATTTTCATAGTCTCCTTTGAAATTCAGGTGGCACATGCATTTTGAATTAGCACGGGAACCTCTAGCAATTTTTTTATCTATGAATGTTTGAATAGATTTGAGATATTTATTGCTTTCAAAATCTTCCTGTCTTCCGGTGCAGTATAGCATAAATCCTTCTGAAAAGAAGCAGCAGTAATGAGTTTCTGGTAATATTCTGTTAGTTTTGAAATAAATACGAGTCTATGAAGTGCTGTAGGACAAAACACACACAACCCTTCAAAGAGGAAATAAAACGGATGATTGCATCCCACAAAATACCAAATATGTGCCTAATATATCTTCATTGGCCAGTATTGCCACTCATTGGCTACTAAGTCCTATTTATATCAATTACTATTAGTATTTAATATGAGAATTATACCTTGAATGATGACCACAGAAGACAGGATTAAAAGAAAGTGTGTATGGGAGAAGTTGAACATAATATAACTTCTGCTGCTAGGGATTTACCATGGGGTTACTCTTTACATTGGATCCAGTGATATATTACATTTTTATGAAAATTATACTCTTGTACTGACAGAGTTCAGTGAGATATTTATATGAAGTTGTTAATAAAAATGCAAAATAAGTAAAGCATCATTAAATGTTTGATATAAACTGCTAAAAGGAACTAACTTCAGTCTACAGTTGCCACTTCATAGATGATGGACCACTATATCTGCATCTACCCTAGACTTTTCTTAAATTATTTCACCATTGCACAACCTGGTGGTAAAAAGGGCTAGTTCTCTGTCTATTCTAGCACTCCCATCATTGATCCAACCGGTGAAGTTGCACCAGTGGTAGTGTAAAGGTACAAGCATCTAAGACAAAAGCTTTGTGCCTAAATACAGTGCAATAGCCTGTGTACTCTGTAAGATCACCCACTGTTTTGAGATTCATGCAATACTCAGATGGTGTGGATGAGTGAACCTATTTGAATTTTAGTGTTTAGACAGTTACGTGAAACCTCCTAACATTATCAAAATATATACAATATTCAATTTAATTGTTACATTTGAAATGAATAATCCAGGAAACAATATTGAAATTTTTAGACCATTGTGACAGAAAACAGAATTTTTCAGTAATTTGCTGTATAAAAGTTTTTAAAAAGCATCTCAAGCAATTTGTGCTCCTCCTGAAAGGCCACTGAAAGAATGTGTTGTGTCTATAAAACTTTTATGTATCACTAAATTAAGAGAGCACTTTCAACAGCTGCATCTCTAGAAGTTA